GGCATCTTTTCCGACGTTTCATCTCTCTCAGCTCCTCGGTAAACCAGGGAGCCAATCGAGATCTACGTCGGGTCAGAGGCCGCAAAGGCACGACTCGGTCCAATGCTGCGGTGGCAGTTGTCTCCCAAGCCGCCGCCTGATTTTCCGCCGAGTCGTGGACCAGATCCTCCGGATATGGCCCAAGCTCCATCAGGAACCTGGCCATAGTTCCCCACCTTGGGTCTAGGCAAATTTACCAGGCTACCTGATGACATCCCACCAGGCTACCTGATGACATCCCACAGGAATTCTGGGAGTTGAAGTCCACAAGTCATAAAAGGGCCAAGTTTGAAGACCCCTGCACTAGGATAAGTGGTCCTAACCTGTGCTGGCAGAATCAAAGAACACCAACCATTGGGATTCAGAAAACGAGCCTTCTCTGCTGTAGCATCCGCCCTTTGGAACATCCTGCCCTCTGGGATGAGATCTGCTTCTAACTCCTAGCCTTCCACAAGGGCCTGAAGATCTGCCTCTGCCAGTTAGCCTGGCAACCGGATGGGAAAGTTCTACACTGGAAGTGGCTGCTTTTATTATTGTAAGATGCCTAGAGCAGCCTCATGGTGAGATAAGCAGCAAATAAATTTAACAAATAGAGGAAAATAAATAAATCTATAGAAGTGAGTTACTGCTGTTTTTCTCCCAGATAGTGTTTTTTTTAAAAAAAATTAACCAACTTATCTGCTTTGCAGGGCAATGCAATGGCTCAGTGGTTAAGACGCTGGACTTGTTGGCTGGATGGCCAACAGTTTGGGTTCAAGACTCAAGATCAAGTGCCGCGCAACAGAATCAAGGCCCATCTTCATCTAGCTTCTGCCCACCTAGCAGTTTGAAAGCATGCAAATGCAAGTAGATAAATAGGTACCACTTCAGTGGGGAGGAAGCTCCGCTATGTCATGCTGGCCACATGACCACGGAAACATCTTCGGACAGCACTGTCTGAATGGCCTTGAAACAGAGATGAGTGCCACCCCTTATAGTCAGCAATGATTAGTGGAGTAAAATCCACAGGGACTCCTTTCCTTTCCTTTCCTTTCCTTTCCTTTCCTTTCCTTTCCTTTCCTT